CGATATAAACTTAACTGCAAGATATAAACTCAGAATTGCGATATACTGTAAACTCAGAATTGCAAGATTGAACATAGGATCAGCATATTTTAAACAGATTCTTAAATTTGTAATCCCACACTAAGTATTGCAATATAAACTCAGTTGCAAGGTGTAAACTCAGAATTGTGAGATGTAAACTTTATAACTTGCAACTGTGATATAAACTAGCAATTCTGGAAAAAGTCAGAATTTTGTATTTTTTTATTTTGAGGCGGAAACAAGCTTCCGTAGGATCCGCTGTATACGCACACACGCTGTTCTGTTTACTATAAACTACTATCTCCTATCCGCTCGTATGGTGCTGAATGTGTGTGTAGTTCAGGAGGCTGCAGACGATCTGTGCGAAGAGCTCCAGTCCTGCAGGGGTCAGAGTTCAGATCTCAGCCCGGTTCTGATGCGGGCAGTCACTAACGTCATCTGCAGGCTGGTGTTCAGCTCCTCGTACCAGCGCAACGACCCCGAGCTCCTGACCGTCATGGACTACAACGACGGCATCGTCCAGACCATCGCCAGAGGAGGACTCGTCGACATCTTTCCTTGGCTGAGAGTCTGCCTTCACTTTAACTCCCATATGTGACCCTGGACCACAAAACCTGTCATAAGGGTCAATTTTTTTGAAATTGAGATTTATACATCATCTGAAAGCTGAATAAATAAGCGTTCCATTGTTGGTTATTACTACAAATATATCCGTGCTACTTATGACTGGTTTTGTGCTCCAGGGTCACATATTAGAATCATTACTAATATCATCTGTGTTTTATTTCCTAATATGACCTTTGATTCCATCAGATTTTCCCCAACAAGGACCTAAAGAAGCTGAAGCAGTGCGTTTCAGTGAGAGACCAACTCCTGCACAGAAAACTGCTGGAGCACAAGGTACACCGTAAAAAAATGAAATGATCTTTTGAGTCTCAAATGTGATATTGCAGCACAAAAGCAGTCATAAGTAGCACGGATATATTTGTAGCAATAGCCAACAATACATTGTATGGGTCAAAATGATCCATTTTTCTTTTATGCCAAAAATCATTAGGATATTAAGTAAAGATCATGTTTTGTAAATTTCCTACCATGAATATATATAAAAAAAAATGTAATTAGTAATATGCATTGCTAAGAACTTCATTTGGACAACTTTAAAGATGATTTTCTCAATATTTAGATTTTTGCACCCTCAGATTCCAGATTTTCAAATAGTTGTATCGCGACCAAATATTGTCCTATTCTAACAAACCATACATCAATGGAAAGCTTATTTATTCAGCTTTCAGATGATGCATAAATCTCAATTTCAAAAAATCGACCATTATGACTGGTTTTGTGCTCCAGGGTCACAAATACAAAAAAATGCTATTTTCTTGAAACTACATGAAAACTCTTGTCAGATCAACAAAATTACCCCAAATGTTGTCCCAACTAGTCAAACACAGTTGTCTGAACAAAGAACTTTTCACATTGTTGAAATGTCAAGGCTTTCTGAGTTCCCAGCATGCATTGCAGCATGAATAAATGATGCTGTTACTGTTATAGGATTATTGTTTTGCTGCTTGCTGCATCTTCATTTAAACCTTTTTGTTGTTGTTTTGTCATTATTGTTAGTTATTTGTTGTACTGTGATGTAAAGAGCTCATCTTTTTAATCTTTGTTGATTGCATCGTTCTCGAAGTTTGTGCATCTAGTTTTGAGGCCTGGAGTATGTTCAGCCATTTCTATCCGTTTCCTGGATATCTTAGTCTTGTACGATGTTTCACAAACAAACACAATGTTGTCTACACTTTAGACTGTTATAGCAATTCACTGTTTGTCATTCACAAATACACAGAAAATTGGTAATGTGGTGACTTTTTACACATTCTTTTTTTTTTCATCCAGGAAACAGAAAAATTAATTACCTCAACGACAGTAATTGTTGTTTCAGTTGCTGTGACAAGAATTTTTCTATAAGTAAAATAAGACAATCAGCATTGCATGAACAAACACATTTACATGGGCTAAACAAAGCATCTTTAGTGAGAAGAACTAAAAAACTTAGAGAACTCAAAAGTCTTACTGCATCAAGTTGCCTTATTTTTCATGTTTTCTCAACTATTTTTTACAGTGTACACAAACACACACACACACACACTTACAGTTGTTTGTGTTGTCTTCATGACCTTTGACCTCACAGATGACCCTCAAGCCCGGAGAGCCTCGAGACCTGCTGGACGCTCTTCTGATTGGTCAGATGGAGGGGTCAGGTGGGGAGGATGACATCACGGAGGATCATGTGCTGATGACGGCGGCTGAGGCGTTCGGAGCCGGTGTGGAGACAACCTCCACCACACTGCTGTGGACCATAGCCTTCCTCCTGCACCACCCACAGGTACACACACGCTTACATACTCTTACTATCAGATTTCTATTTAGGATAATGAGAATTGATCTTAGACATACAATATATATATATATATATATATATATATATATATATATATATATAT